TGGTGTCTTTCTGGTGGCCCCAAGCCTGAGATGATGTTTATAAACGAACACACCTCCGATCAGCTGAGTGGGGAGACATTGGCTAGGGATTTGTCCGCGGAATTTCACTCAACCCTCCGTCCGGCGGGCTTCTCCTCCCTGCCCTCCTTCATGCCTCCTCTGCAGCTTCCCCCGGTCAGTTCTTTAGAGAAGGAAACTCCAGCCTGGGTGGAGGGAGAAGGGGAGAGAGAGGGAGATGATCACTGGGGTGCTCAGAGTTGGGGGCCTGGGCCTGGGGGTCTCAAGGCCTCTTCCTGCTGCCCTCCTCATCCCTTCCGGTGGGCTTACCCGCTGCCCGCGTTTGGACGTTTGTTGCTGGCACCCCCCCCCCCGCCCCCCCGCAGGTGCTGAGGTTCATGCTTGCTCTCTGTAGGGAGCCGTTCGCTGCCCTCCACTGCCCTCCACTTCCCCAGCCAGCCCTCGGAAAGACTCTCCAATCACTTAGGTGGTATTTCCTTTGCCTCATTCTCTGTCCGAAGCCCGTGTTAATGAAGGAAGCGCCTCTCCCGTTGTCCACCTCTGGAGAGTGGCGGGATGGAAAGGAACAGCCGGTGGAGAGAGGCAGGAAGTGACAGGCAGGGCATCTGGGAGGGAGGTGTCAGGGGATCTGGGTCCCCAGCCTCCTGGAGTAGAGGCTGCAGGACCCCCTGGCGGAGGGGCCACTCTGTCCTGGATGTGGCGGTGTCTGCGGACGTGCAAGGCCGCATGTCTAGAGATCAGTTGGCAGCTCAGGTGAGGGAGGGGCTGAAATCTTGGGAGAGCATGTGGCTAGGAAAGCAGTTGGCCTAGGCAGAACTCTGGGAAACCCTGAATTTATGGTGGGGGGGGGGGGCGAGGGCAGAGGGACAGGAGCTGACAAAGGAGACAGGGAGTGTTGGAGAATCCTGAGAGGGCCGGGGAGCGGGGCCAGGGCCCAGGAGCATTCCAGAAGCACATCTGAGGGACTTGCTACATGATCCTCCGTGAGCCGGTGGGAGGCGAGGCCGAGCTGGCCGTGCACGCTTAGCTATTGCGATGCTTCCAGAAAGCTGTGGGCGGGGCGGGGTGGGGGGGGGCGCGGGGTTGGGGAGGTCAGTAGCTATAGGAGGACGTGAGTTAAAGGAGATGGGGTTTTATTTTCCCAGTGGGAAAAGTTTCAGCTCGCTTCCTGGGTGAGGGTGAGGAACCAGAACACACAAAGCCATGCTCTTCTGGGCTTTGGGGGGCGGGGGGGGAGGGCGCGGGGCAGGAGCTGTGCCTGGGCCCCTCCTGGAGGGGGTGACTGTTCAGGCTCATGGAGGGAACTCGCTTCTCCAGCATGTGTGCTATGGGAGCAGAGGCTGCCTGGGCACCGTGGGCTGATGCCCAGGCTCATGGGGTGTCTGGGAAGAGCTCCCCTGGGTGCGAACGCCCCCACAGGCAGTCCTCGCGCTGATGCCGGGAGTCCTGGCGTGGCCCAGGCAGGGTCTTTTTCCAGCACCTTCTCGGGCAGGGTGGGATGCCCTCCACAGGGGCAGGAGAGGAGAAGGGCCATCCTCCAGGTCACACCCAGGGTCGCAGGCCCGGGACCCCGCCTGTGGGTGGACGTTGTCTGCTCCGATCCCGACAGAAGCCAGAATAGGGTTCCAGGCTCCGGGAAACCCACCAGAGTATCTCCAGACGCAGGTTCCTCTTTCTGTTCAGCGCCGGCGGGTGGGCAGCGGCCTCCCGTGACTGGCCTGCGGTCGCCGCGTCAGGGTTTCCCTCCCAGTCACGCTTCCTACCCGGCCAGATAAGCTCAGCCGCTGTTCTCGGAGACGGGGGCGCGCGGGGACCCACAGGCACTCAGGAGTGGGGGCTGGGGATGGGCAGGGGGTGAGAGCAGGCCCCCCAGAGCTGCTTCCTCTCCTCCGGGCCCCTCACACCCCCTCCTTTACGCCTCAAGCTACTGATTCATTCCACGTCTTTTCAGAGCCACCCAGACAGCCCGGGCTCATCTGGAAACGTGTGTGTGTGTGTGTGTGTGTGTGTGTGAGAGAGAGAGAGAGAGAGAGAGACAGAGAGAGAGAGAGAGACAGAGAGAGAGAGACAGACAGAGACAGAGAGAGAGAGACTATTCAAGGGGGAGGGGAGGCCTGAAGTGGTTCCTGCCTCCAGCGCTTTGCACGGAGTCTGTTCCTCTGACTGGCCGACGCTTTTAGGAAGCATGAAACAGGCAGAAGTTTCCCCAAAATGTTCGTTCCTGGGAGAAGGGGGGCAGCGGGAGGGAGGCTCGCGGCTGCATGGAGGGGGTGGGTCTGTGAGAGGCGAACAGCCCCAAGGTGCTGCCCGACCCGGATCTGGATCATGGGCCCGGCTTGTTCGTTGGACCGGCCATGTTGATTATAAGAGGCTCCTGTCGCTGGGCCCGGTGCTGACGAACCGACTCCGGGGCCTCGGGTGGCGGCCTCCGCCTGGGCAGTCTTCCTGGGGCAGGAGGCGGGCAGGCCTCGGCCTCTCGGGCCTTTTGTCAACTTGTCCTTGGACCCCAAATAAGTTAAAGGACTGCTTTTCTACTTTCAAACACCAGGGCTTGAAGCCTTCTGGTGTTTTCCATGAGGCCAAAGGGTTTCACAGGCTGGGGTTTCTTTGGGGAGAATGGCAATTGTCAGGCCTCTCAAGCCCCTCGCTCCCCGCACAAAGCATAGCTCCGGCTGCGTTTCTGAGACATTTATGGTCTGGCTCCTCCCTGGGGTGAAGTGATACTTCAGGCTTTAATGTTTAAAGACACAGCCCCCCTGTGTGCTGCCCTGAGGTTGAGTACAGACACTTTCCTGGTTCTAAGAGCGGAGAACCCTCAGGGGACACCCCGAAGACCAGGCTGCCTTCTGCAGCCCAGCAAGGAGGCAGGCCGGGTTTCTGTTCATTAGTTTTTTAAAAATATATTTGTATTGGTTTCAGAGAGAGGAAGAGAGAGAGAGACACATCAATGATGAGAGAGAATCAATGACCCTCTGCCTCCTGCACGCCCCCTACTGGGGATCGAGTCTGAAACCTGGGCACGTGCCCTTGACCAGGAATCAAACCCTGACCTCCTGGTTCATGGGTCCACGCTCAATCTCTCAGCCACGCCCGCCAGGCGAGGCTGTTTTTATTTTATTTTATTATTTTTTTAATGTATTTTATTGATTTTTTACAGAGAAGAAAGGAGAGGGACAGAGAGTTAGAAACATCAATGAGAGAGATCGATCAGCTGCCTCCTGCACACCCCCCACTGGGGATGTGCCCACAATCAAGGTACATGCCCTTGACCGGAATCGAACCTGGGACCCTTGAGTCCGCAGGCCGACGCTCTATCCGCTGAGCCAAACCGGTTCGGCGAGGCTGTTTTTAATACAAAGCACTTAGGGCGAGCGTGTCCCTGCGCCAGCCGAGGTCGGCTGCCAGTGCATTAGACGTGCGCACCTTGCCCCCTCCGCCCCCAGGCCTTTCAACGGCCAGTGCTTCCCAGAAGGACTGCCCTTGGCACGCAGGACGGCCAGTGAGTGCGCTCTCCCTCGCTCCTGCTCACACCTCATGACCTGGAAGCAGCACCCTGCCGGGGAGGCTGCCACGCGGAGCACCCTGGAGGGCTGAGCCGAAATGCAAGGCTTTGGAGCACATGGTCCTCAGGCTCCTGCGGGCTCCCGGCATCAGCTGGGCGCTCTCCTGGCCACTGATTTTTTTTTTAATTGTGGTAAAATGCACGTAAAATTTTACCATTTTAGCCATTTTTTAGGGCTCTCGGTTTTGTTTGTTTGTTTTTTTAAAAAATATATTTTATTGATTTTTTACAGAGAGGAAGAGAGAGAGATAGAGAGTTAGAAACATCGATGAGAGAGAAACATCGATCAGCTGCCTCCTGCACATCCCCCACTGGGGATGTGCCCACAACCCAGGTACATGCCCTTGACCGGAATCGAACCCGGGACCTTTCAGTCCGCAAGCCGATGCTCTATCCGCTGAGCCAAACCGGTTTCGGCAGGGCTCTCGTTTTTATCATTTTAACCATTTTAAAGTGTGCAGTTCAGCCTGGCGGGCGTGGCTCAGTGGTTGAGCATCGACCTATGAACCAGAGATCACGGTCAGGGCACAGGCCTGGGCTGCAGGCTCAATCCCCAGTGGGGGGCGTGCAGAGGCAGGCGGTCAATGATTTTCTCTCATCATTGATGTTTCTATCCCTCTTTGCCTCTCCCTTCCTCTCTGACATCAATAAAAACATATTGAAAATAAAGTGTATAGTTCAGTGACCTTAAGTGCACTCATAGTCTTATACAGTCATCACCACTACCCAGTTCCAGAATTTCTCATCCACCCAACCCGAAACCCCTTGCCTATGAAGCAGTAACTCCCCTCTCCCCTGCCCCCAGCCCCGGGAAACCCCTCATGTTCTGTCTCCATGGGTCCTCGTGTTCTGGGTGTTTCAGATGAATGGAAGCACGCAATATGTGGCCTTTCGTGTCTGGTTGCTTGCAGTTAGCATGATGTTTCAAGGTGACCCACACTGTGCACCTGCCAGGACTTCATTGCTCGTTATGCCTGAACAATGTTCCCAGAAGTCCTTTATTTTTTCTCCTCTTTTTTAATTAAATTGATTGGGGGGACATTGGTTACTATGATCACACAGGTTTCAGGTGTGGGTTTCTATGTTAGAAGATCTGTGAATTGCCCTGTGTGCCCACCATCCCAAGTCAGATCTTCTCCCGTCACCATATCTTAGGACCCCCTTCATCCATCGCCTCCCTCCCCTGCCTTGGGTCCTTAAGTCCTTACTTGGGAGAATTCACAGGACTCCCTGAATGGCACCAAGGTCACCACTGTGGGCCAGGATCCGTCCTGTCGCCGTTTCCGAGTGGGTAGGGGAGCCTTCTGTTACCGGAGATGGAGCAGCAGGCAGAGCCCCCAGGCCAGGCCGGAGGGGAGAGCTGGGCTCAGGCCGGGAAGGGCTGAGCTCACTGCGAACAGGTGCTGCGTGTCTCCCACAGATGCAGGAAAAGGCCAAGGAGATCTACATGACCTTCCTGTCCAGCAAGGCCTCGTCACAAGTCAACGTCGAGGGGCAGTCCCGGCTCAACGAGAAGATCCTGGAAGAGCCGCACCCCCTGATGTTCCAGAAGCTCCAGGACCAGGTAACCCGACCTCCTTGCCTGCGCTGTGACTGGAGGCCGATGTGTCTCCGCAGCCGGGCAGTGGAGGAGGGAGCGCGGCTGGCAGAGCACAGAGCCCTGGAATGCCAGGCTCGGGATTAACCCCAGGCGGCTCCCCCACGCCGGCGTGCTCTGGTCTACACGCCGTGTGAACCGGCAGGGGCATCTGTCTTCTCGATGCAGATCAGAAGGGAGGCTGGGGCTGTTTGAGGCACCCGCACTGAGGAAGCACCCTGTGATACCCGCTGAAGGTAGGCGCAGACAGAAAATTCTAGAAAGCGAGCACAAAGACTCAGAATGCTCGGGAACATGGGGCTGTTTTTTGTGTGCAGATGTCCAAGCATCATCGCCTACATCCGGCGGCCCAGTACCATAAGCTAGGTCTTCATGAGGCCCCGGAGTTTAATGAAGTGCTACTATCTGGCAGCATACATGTTCCACGTAAAGCAGGAGTAATCAGGTTTAAAATAGACCTAGAAGGGGCAAGTTGGTTTTTTTGGAAAATTCTCCTATGAGGAACGGCCATGGTCATGGGCAACGGGGTGAAAGTGCACCCCAGGGGTTCTCACAGACACGGGCTTGCAGAGGTGGCTCCGTAGCGTGCCCCGTTCTTGTGAAACGTGACGCACACCTGGGGCACCGGTTTCTGACTTCTGCTGGCCCTGTTCTCACTGGGGAAGCGAAGGCTCCCGTGGCACACAGGTGGGGACTAGCTTTTCGCCTGACTCAGCAGTCCCCCATCTGCGCCCGCCCGGAGCCACCTGGAGGCTTGTTCAGGCAGACCGGCCCCATCGCCCGCGAAAACGGTTTCAAATGCGATGGTCCCAGGCGGGACCCAGCAAGGCCCCAGTTGACGGATGCGGGTGCTGCCCGTCCTGGGACTGCACTTTGAGGACCACTGGTCCCTCCAGGGCCGGCCTTGGTGTAAGTGTGCACAGAGCCCACAGCATGCCTGCCCCAGCAGCCAGCAGCCAGAAAACCAATGCACACGCGAGAGGTAGCTGGAAGCTGTTTTCCAATCGACACAGTGGCAAGTGCAAACTCCCCTGAGTTCCGAATCAGCTGTGGGTGTTGAAGGAACCCGGTGCGCACGGGGGACTTGCTGAGGGCCTCCTGGAGGTGGTGATTTCGAGTCAGTGGAAGGGACGCCGTGCGTGTGGGTTTGTGGAGGGAAAGCAAGTGGAATGTCTGACCCAAAGGCAATTATTTTGTGGCTCTGGCTGCACGAGGATGTCTGCCCCACTGGGACCTCAGTCTTTTCGTTTCCTTTTGTATTTTAAAGTTCTGCCAAGGTTGAGAACTGTACTGAAGCCCCTGAGTGCTAAGCATTTCCACGAATCACAGTGTCTGCTATTCAGGGGTGCCCTCTGTGCCTGATGCCCACTGGGCATGCTGCATCCGCTGCATCGCCAGGGAGTATTACTCCCACGTTGATGATGAAGAAGCAGGGTTCAGGGGTGCTAAATGGTTTCATGGCACAAAATCACACCTGCTTTCACAGGCCACCCTCTGCTGCATTCATGGGCAGCCTGTCGCTGCTCCTCCAAGCCCAGGAGACCAGCTGGGGCAGAGGGGTTGGGAAGGCCTTGTCAGTACGGGCCCCCTTCCCGGCTGCAGACCCCAAGGGAGGAACAGGGAGGGAGACGGGCTGATGCCCCCTCTATGCAGCGGTTCTCAACCTGTGGGTCGCGACCCCTTTGGGGGTCGAACGACCCTTTCACAGGGGTCGCCTAAGACCATCCTGCATATCAGATATTTACATTATGAGTCATAACAGTAGCAACATGACAGTTATGAAGTAGCAACGAAAATAATTTTATGGTTGGGAGTCACCACAACATGAGGAACTGTATTAAAGGGTCGAGGCGTTAGGAAGGTTGAGAACCACTGCACTAGAGTCATACGTGGGGCGCTTTGCTGGCGCAGAAAGGAGGCGCACGAGGGACAGAGGAAGAGCTTTCTAAGTGACAAGAGAAAAATGTTTAAAAAATAACTTTTATCTACCTAACTATGAAAGTCACACGTGCTCAACAACAACGACGACAAAGAATCATTATTTCGTACCTGGACAGGACCCCTAACTAGCATCAGGTCGCTAGACTTCCGTCCTTCTTCCTACAAATGCATCCATGTACCCATATCACAAATACGGCCCAACTCTTTTAGTTCAAACTATTTTACAGAAAGAAAGGACTTTGAATCCACTATATATGGTTAACAAATGCTACCTTTTGTTGCCTGCCTGCCAAGGGACAGGCCAGGGCTTAAAGGAAAAAATAGAGGAAAGGAAGTGCTTTTATACTGTTGTTAAAAGTCAGTCTCTGAGCGGGATAGAGAGGCCCTCACTGTCTCTCTGAGGCTCACTTGGCTGACGACAAGGGGTGGGAATCGGAGCTGATGCCACAGCGAGTCCCTCTGAGGGGCCTCTGGGTCCTGTTTTGCCTCAGAAAATTCTGCCTGTCGGGGGCCTGGTAACCGTCAAAGCGTGTGCTCAGCGCGCTCTGTGGGTCTCTGCTCCCTGAAGGCCCCACCAGAGCCCGGGTGTCCTGAGCGAGGGAGCTTGGAGCTGAGGGGAGCCGCTGGGCACCACAGAACCAACTCCGTGGCTTTGGCAGCGTGCAGCCCCGCTGGCTGCCGTGCCTCGGACTGTCTGAGCAGGCAGCTTGGTGCCCAGGAGTCCCCAGCTCCTGGTGACCTCAGCCCCCACCCCCACCCCCACTTCCGTTACAGTGGGCGGTGCTCTGTGCTCTGGAGGCGGCTGATGGGGCAGCATGGACTTTGGGGCACAGCCGGGACCTAGAAGGATGGGAAAGTCCTCCCCGGGCATCGGGTGAGACGAGCCCCCATCCGTGCATCTTCTCCTGTTGGGGGTCCCCACTCGGGTCCTGTTTGTTCTTGGTTTACACACAGTTCGATCAGGCTCTGGGGTTTCAGTCCGCCATAGATTGGAAACGCTGGTAGAGGCTGTGGGGAGACGGGCGGCAAAATCGGTAACAGCTGCGGGGGATGGGGGGCAGAAAAATGGATACCAAACACAAACCACAGCACAGCGATCTGGAGCCACCAAGCTCAGGGACCCCCACCCACACGCCGCACGGGGGCACCCCTGGGCCGCGGGGCGGTGACGGGGTCAGTGATCTGAGTGACCCCAAAGCATCAGGCAAACTTAAACTGTGGCCAGTGCATTCTGTGAAGAACGTGCTGGACATTTTATAATAAGCACTTCATCAAAATGATGTACTTTTAAAAATTATTCTGTATTTAATTAGGTTTATTGGGGTGACGTTGGTTAGTAAAATTATATAGGTTTCAAGTGCATGATTCCCTAATAGATCACCTTCATATTACATTGTGTGTTCAGCACCCCAAGCCAGGTCTCCTCCCGTCACCATAGAGTTGGCCCCTCAAACCCTTTACTGTCTCCCCCCAACCCTTTCCCTCTGGTAACCCCCATACTGCTGTCTGTGTCTATGAGTTTTTGTCAAGATGCTAACTTAAGAGAAGTTTATAATTCGGTTATTTGGAAAACTCATGTGAGCGGAGTGAGTGTTTCATAGAAGTCGGCTCTGCAAACGTTTAAAAATGAAGCCCTTTGAAAGCTGTGCGGTGGCCTGTATTGTGCCCCACGAAAGATTCAAACCAAACCCTGCTCCTACAAGCTTCCCAGCACCTGCTCACGCACCCCTCTTGCTCTGAAGCCTCTGGTTTGAATGGAACAGGAAGGAGATTGGAGAGGATGGAAGGTCAAGGTCGTTGCAAACGGCCACTCGAGGTCATCGCTTTGTCGGCCGTGAAAGAGAAGGACAGGCTGGAGGGGAGCAGGTGCGCACGCTCCCTGGAAGCTTAGGGGCCCAGGGCCTGCCCGGGAGCGGTTCTCAGTGCTGCCAGGATGCCCTCCCCGGGCTCGGGGTTGGTGCTGGGTCTGCTCTGGGGAAGGCGGAGCGGAGGTGCCGTCTCCACGGAAAAGGAAGCCTCGGCCTCTGATGCTTAAAAAAAAATTAGAAACACAATTAGAAAGACTTGTGAGATGTGAGCACCGGCCACATCCCGGGCAGAGGAAGGGCCGTGCGCCGGGCGGCCCCTTTCAGCAGCGGCATTTCTGTGAATTTCCCCAGAACCGAGACGGGAGCAGGAAGGGTTGGACCCGCTGGTGAGGCCCGGAGCTGGGGCGGGGCTGCCATGCCTCCCGGGGCCATGGGGTGGGGGACCTCTCCCACCCTCTGCTTCTCTAAGTCTGCGTGGCGGCTGGAGCTGGGGATTCTGGAATCCTCCGTCTTGAGGGTGCCAGCAGACACTTGCTCCCCAAGGTGCAGTCCGGCCCAGAAACTGGCCTTTTCCAACACGCAGAGCCAGAAAGGGCAGGTCGTGGGGTTTCCTTCAAATGCGAGGAACGCTGGCGCCCCGCGCCTCCCACAGCTGTTCGCCTTATGAGGGGCGGGGCGGGAAGGACAGTATCTCAAAGACTTTGAGATTTTTTTTTTTTAACTTTGAAATGGTGTTTAGGGGAAGAAGAGAGGGGGCAGGCATCAGAATAGCATTTAACTCTCCTCATGGCAGAAAGCAAACATAAAATACCTTGGCCTGTGCACAAAAAATGTCCTTTGGGCTTTGGATTGGAGTATCATGGACTCCGGACAAGTGAACAAATTGTCACCGCCCCCCCCCCCCCCCCTGCAATGGGGCTGCCCAGGACCCACGGCCGGTGAGTGGGTTTTGCCCCAGCGGGGGTCTCTCTCCACGCACGTCCAGCCTCTTTCTGGAGTTCTGATCCCCCCACACCTTGTCCGTCTCCGGTGAGCCTGCCTGGGAAGCGGGAGCACTGTCCAGGGCCACCATAGCTTCCGGGACAGGCCTGGCCTCACCTGCTCTCTGCCAGCTGCCCGCAGACCTTCTCCTGGATGCACCCCATCCCCACTTCAGAAGAGGGGGAGGCGGCCGTCACCTCCAGGCTGGAGGGCTGGCAGGAGAGGGGCTTTCTTTGCACTTTCTGTCTGTCCTTGTGCATTTGAAAGCACGTCTGTCGTCTGGGTGTGTGGGCAGAGAGAATCCGGAGACAGGGGCGCTGGCCGCCTTCTTTCAGCAATTCTTGTTGTTGTTAATCCTCAGCCCAGGATATTTTTTCCCATTGATTTTTAGGGAGAGTGGAAGAGAGAGGGAAAGACAGAGAGAAACCTCGATGTGAGAGAAACACATCGATTGGCTGCCTCCTGCAGGAGCCCTGGCCAAGGCCCAGGCCAGGGAGGAGCCTGCAACCGAGGTACCTGCCCCTGACCAGAATCAAACCCGGGACCCTTTGGTCCTCAGACCGATGATCTATCCACTGAGCCAAACTGGCTAAGGCCTTTCAGCAATTTTTTAATATAAAAACTAAACCCAGTTCTTGCAGCAAACATGAAGTCCCATTAATAAAACTTGCATGAACAGATTGATTTGCCCCTCCTTGTACCCAGTGTCCTTGTCTTCTGAGAAGTGGTAGGAGATTTATTAGGCTTGAAATGTGCTTCCTTGGGACAGTGTTGAAATCCTCACCGAGGGGCCTTCGAGGCTGGGAAAGCTCGCGTTCCACGTGGATGAGGAGGGGTCCGGAGAGGGAGGGGCGCCTTGGCTGTGCAATGGCCTGGTGCTGTGGGGCCGTGTGCATAGCTGCACGTGGGCAGAAGGCTCCCACCTCCAGCTGCCTGCAGGATTGCATCCCCAGGCAACGACGCCAAACAGTTTACAGTCTGGGCATGCAGCTCTCAGATGTGGCGCTGCCAAAACCCGAAACCTGCTGAGCCACAGCTGTCTTGGGGGAAAAAAAAAAGACGCACGGAATGCAGTTTAGCTGCCAACTTGCGTTTTCTGCCTCATCGGCTGCCTGGGCAGGACTGGCTGCTTCCTTGCTCTGCCGGCCGCTCTGCCCACCTGGAGCCTCACCCCCGTCCTAGATTTGGTGCCACGGTTTCCTCTGCCCCACAGACAGCCTGAGGCGTGTGGTCAGGTGATGGTCACAGCCCAGCCCCAGGGAGGCCAGTTCCCCCCATCAGAGTGTCCTGGTTTTATAGAACCTTCTAGAAGCCTGAGGGCCAGCTCATTTTCTGTGCTCACTGAGGAGTGAGGGGAAATCAATAATTTAGTTTCCAAGGGCTGTCATAACAAATTGTCACAAACTGAGTTGCTTAAAACAGAAATTTATTCTCACAGCTCATGAGGCCAGAAATACGAAATCAAGTTGTCAGGAGGTCTGCACCCCTCCGGAAGGCTCTAGGGAAAACTCCTTTTTAGAAAAAAAAAATGTTTTTATTTTTAAAAAATATATTTTTTTTGATTTCAGAGAGGAAGGGAGAGGGAGAGAGACAGAAACATCAATGATGAGAGAGAATCGTTGATCGGCTGCCTCCTGCACCCCCACACTGGGGACTGAGCCCACAACCCAGGCATGTGCCCTGACCGGGAATCGAACCGTGACCTCCTGGTTCACAGGTCGATGCTCAACCCCTGCGCCACGCCAGCCGGGCGGGGAGACTCCTTTCCTGCCTCTTCCTAGTTTCTGGTGGCTGCTGGCGTTCCTTGGCTCGTAGCTGCGTCACTCCGGCCTCTGCCTCTGTCTTCCGGGGCCTTCTTCCCTCTGCGTGTGTCTGTCCTCTCCTCCCTAAATCCAGGCTGTCATCTCGGCATCCTCAACCCACCCTGTTCCCAAGTCAGGTCACATTCTGAAGTTCCAGGTGGACAGGATTTGGGGGGACACCGTTTAATCCAGGACACTGACCTTTGAAGATATTTATTTCCTTTGTACACAAACCTTTTTTATAAAAGTTATTTTTCATTACAGTTTGCATTCCATGTTATTTTATATCAGTTTCAGGTGTACAGCAGTGGTTAGCTAATCACGTACTTTGCAAAGTATTCACAAACACTCGTAAAGAGCATATTTGGGATCGTTGTGTTTATTTCTAGTGCATTTTAAAAATTTAGTGTCCAGTTGTTGAACGTTCACATCTACTTTTCCATGCTAAACTCTTTACAGACTTCCTGTTGGTCCGCCGTGTGGGGGACAGTGCAGCCTAGTGGTGAGGAGTGAGGCCTCCAGGGCTGGACTGCCAGGGTTGCATCCTCTGGTCTCGTGCTCACTGCTGTGGAATGAATTATGCTCCCCCTCCCCGCTCCCCGATGCATATGTTGACGTCCCAAGCCCAGGTACCTCAGAATGTGACTGTGTTTGGAGCGAGGGTCTCCAAAGAGGAATTTAAGGTGAAACGAGGCCATTGGGGGTGGGCTCCAAGCCAGGTCAACTGATGTCCTTACAAGTAGAGGAGATTAGGACACAGACGCACACAGAGGACACGGGAAGGGGGGCGGGGGCGGGAAGACAGCCGTCTACAAGCCAGAGAGCGAGGACTCAGGAGAACCGACCTTGGACTTCCAGCCTGCAGAACTGCGAGGAAAGACATCCCTGTTGTTGAACACCTTCCCACCCCCATCCCCCCGTCTGTGGGACTCGTCACGGCCGCAGAGCAGATGAGCACACCAGCCCCTGTGTGCTCCCCCTGTTCCTCCCCCTGTGTCATCCGGGTTCTCACGGGGCTTTGGTGAGATCACATGAGCATCATGCTGCCCGGTGCCCGGTTGGAAGGCACCACCCGATGCACTTCGCCAGCCTCTGCGTGTTGGGCGGCTTCTGCTCGTTCGCCGGGTGGGTATTTATTGGGCCGCACTCACGCCATTTGCCCTGGTGGCTGCTGGGGCCGCAGCTGGCTACACGTTCCTGGGAGAGACTGTTGGGTGCGCTCTCTCTCCTGTAAGCCGTCTTTGCGGAGCACCACCCTCAATGGGCCGTGTGGTCGGAGCGCCCCATGGCCATGTGCTCCGAGGCCAGTGCCAGGAGGGCCTGTGGCCGTGCCATTGAGGCCCGTGCAGGGATACCAGGCAGCTCACAGCCTCAGAAAATGCGGCCACTGGGAGTGACGTCTCTTCTTTTCCACATCTGTCCGGCCTCAGGGCTGTCGCTGCCCCCCAGGGACTGCAGCGCCAGGAGCTACACCAGGAGGCAGGCCAGGGTCCTGGATGGAAGCCCAGCCTGTGGGACTTCCCGGGCATCACACCTGCCCCCGGTGGTGTGGCTGTTACGCTCGTGGTACAGAGCTCCCAGCCCCTGCCCTGGCGCTGGCTGAGGGAGCCTGGGTCTCTTGGGCTCTCCTGGAGGCAGAAAGCGTCTGCCAGCCACTGAGCAGTGCCTGAGCCTCCCCTCTGCTGAGCCGCCCCCTCGCCCGCCCTCCCCGCCGCCCCCGGCTCTGGGTGCCTCCAGCCCCTGCCTTTTCTCTTCTCTTTGAAGTGTGAGCCTCAGAGCCACGACAGGCAAACAGGATGCTCCACTCCCACGCGCACCGACTTCAGACAGACGTGGGGTCGAACCGCATCCTGCAGGCAGTGGGGGGTCCCGCCTGCCACGGACCCGGTGTGGGAGGGGCGCAGGCTGGGTGCCGGCAGGGGCCTCGGGAGCTGGCTTCCTCAGTCCCTCTCCGAGCACCCGGTCCACACTTGGAACTCGGTGGGCATCTCAGAGTTCCCGTGGGGGCCCTCAGGCCTGCAGGGCCGGGCCAGGCCGGTGGTTGGGACGGTAACGTCTGCTCGGCACGTTCGTGGGAGGCCACGGGGTGATAACTCCTCATCCCCCGTCTTACCCCTGGGTGCGATTTTAGTATTTTCTGGGAATTGTTATTTTAAATATATTTTTATTGATTTCAGAGAGGAAGGGAGAAGGAGAGAGAGAGAGAAACATCAATGATGAGAAAGAATCATTGATCGGCTGCCTCCCGCACGCCCCCTACTGGGGATCAAGCCCACAACCTGGGCATGTGCCCTGGACCAGAATCAAACCTGGGTCCCTTCAGTTCCCAGACCAACCCTCTATTTACTGAGCCAAACTGGCTAGGCATTATTATTATTATTATTTGGGGGGGCATTATTATTTTTAATGAATACAGTCTCTAAACCTCAGCAGTGGGTCTAGGAGACAAGATTGCTACACAACAGGTTTCTGGGAGGCATGGCCTTTCGGAGCCGCTGGAGACATGGGCAGGCGGGAAGGTTGCTCAGGGAAGGGCAGGCAGGAGTTTAAGAGTCGAAAGAAACCCAAAATCCTAAATCGTCCTGGGTTGTTGGCTTTGCCGATAGCACATGGTTTAGGTGGACCCCCTGTGGTTGGAGTGGGGGCGGTGAAGGGGGGCATGAACGTGCAAAGGCCGAAGGTTCCAGGTCTCCCATCCCCAGCAGACTCCATCAGACCTTTAATTTACAAAATAGCTCGTGTGCCTGGAGGGAAAGGGCAGATGTAAAAGACGTCCGGGTGTTAGCACCCGCCTGGCAACCCCGCCTGGCAGCCAGCGCCGTTCCAGACCGCTGGCCCTTCCATCAGGCCTGTGGCTGAAGCCTCCCTCTCGTAGGCTGTGCTCTGGCCCCTCTGCCCGGATTGAATGAGCCCCCTGTTGCTTCCTGGCATAACGAGGGGCTTGTTTGAGTTCTTAGATGCCAGGCTTCTGTGCCTCTGACGATGTTGGCCTCCTCTGGCCTGCACCCCAGCACCGTCTCTACAGGAACAGTTCCTGTTCCTCCATCTCTAGTCCCTGTGTGTCATTTTTCCACATAAAGTGGAGCTTCTTAAAGGACCTCTCGCCACAAGGCTGTGAATCAGTGCTGCGTGCACTAGACTTCCGTGGAAAACAGAGAGGGGCTTGTTCATGTGACCACACCCCTCCCCCCCGCCCAAGCTGTTCTGTTCCTCTGAGGTTATTTCACGGCGACCAGAATCGTCCAGCACAGGACCGGCTGTAGCTGCCCGTGTGTGTCTCGCACGGATCTGCGTTCCCTGGCGCGTGAGCGGCGTTTAATAAATATTTGCTAGGGTGAGTCATGGCCTGGCCCGCCTCAGCCTTCAGCCGTCTTTTCCCTTTCCCCTTAGATCTTCAACCTCATGAAGTACGACAGCTACAGCCGCTTCTTGAAGTCTGACTTGTTTTTAAAGCACAAGCGAACCGAGGAGGAGGAGGAGGAGCCGCCCGACACGCAGACGGCAGCGAAAAGAGCGTCGAGAACTTATAACACATGAGCCCCCCCCCCCCCCCCCCCCCCCCCCCGCAGCGGTCGGCACTGGCAGCTCCCTGGCGCCAAGGAACTCGGGACCATGCAGGGTTAAGAATTGCTTTGTTATCTGCAAGGACTGAAATGTACAAAACCCGTCCATGGGATACGTGTATTTTATTAACTGCTTGACCAGTCAGTTTTGCATGATGGCTAATCTTACATAGAGAACACACATGTTGCTTTGAAGTTTAAGTTCACAAACACACGGGTGGAAGGAGTCCTTAAACACTGGACACTGAGCATTTTACAGTTTGATTAAACGTCAGGCGAGGCCGCCAGGCGACACGTCCAGCCACCTCTTAGCTTTCAAGTCTTTGCCCTGCCTCTGTGGGAGTGGACCTCACAAACTCAGGCCATGGGGGGGGGGGTGCTGTCTGTCCGGCAACTTTTGGGTTAAATACTTCTCTCGGGCGAGCTCAGCCCCTGCAGGTTCGGGGAGCTGTGGGGGAGCATCACCAGGAGCTTTTCCTTGTGTGGGGTCTGTCCTGGTTTCGCCCACAGTCTGTGACATTTCATGCAACATAAATAGTTCATCCTGATACAAATACGATCTCGAGGAAGAAAGAAAGACGAATGGGAAGTCGCTCGGGGTCCCCCCGGCAATGGGGGGTGGCGCTGAGTGGGACCGTGCCGCCCGGCCTGTGCCAATGATGGAAGGCGTGCACATTCCCTGTCTCCCGTAGCCCGTCGGGGACGCACCGCCCTCCTTCCTGCTCTGCCCCCACCCTTTGCTGGACTCCGGGCTCGAATCTTCAGCCAGGAGGCAGAAATGCCGTCTCTGAAAGTCTTCTTTCGAGGGAAGTCCAGCTCGGCCCAGGCTGACCCCGCCAGCCTGGGTCGCGCCCCCTTTGGAGCTAAGCCCATGAGCCCAGGTCCCTCCTGCTAGTTCTCCCTGCCGCCTGCGCCTGCAGACCTTCTCCGGCCTGTTTGCCGAGCCTCGCACTCCGGTTTGTGCAAACCGAGCAGGCAGACCCTGTTGCTGACCCTGTTGCCGTGAGCCTTTCCACGTCCCATTCACTTGCAAATTGCCTGGCGCTGAGGGTGACTGTAGAGCTTTCCAGTTAAACCAGGACGCTTCAGAGAGGGAAGGGGTGAGTTCAGTAATTACAGGGGGGCAATGGCGTGAGCTGGTTCTGTTCTGGGTGAAGCGGTTCACAGTGTCCCGACGAATGACCCTCCCACAGGGTGACCTGTGGTATAGTCCCTTGCGTGTCCAGCCTGGGGGAGGGTGGCCTGGGGGCCATTCGCTGCTGAGAACTCGGTCACCAGCTGAGCGTCCAGCAGGAACTGCCCGGGCTGGACCCCCTCCCCCCCCCGCCAGGGGGCTTCTCCTTAGTCTGGCCTCTCCACCTGAGAAGGACCCCCAAGGGCCCTGGCATCCGAGAAATTCAGTCCTTCAAGCAGAGCAGACTGATGCATTTTATTTACAAAAAAACTACTTTCTAAGGAACGCTACCTAAATGTCTTTTTTTTACAATTATTTCTATTGATTTTTAGGGAGAGGAAAGGACAGAGAGAAACATCGATGTTAAACGTTGATCAGCTGCCCCCAGGCACGCCGCCTACAGGGGACTGAGTCTGAAACCCCACATGTGCCGGGTTCGAACCGGCAAGCTTTCCGTGCCTGGGACGACTCCCAACCAACAGCCACACTGGCTGGGGCAGATTGATGCATTTTATTTTATTATATATATTTTTATTGATTTCAGAGAGGAAGGGAGAGAGAAACATCAATGATGAGAGAGAATCACTGATTGGCTGCCTCCTGCACGCCCCTCACTGGGGACTGAGCCCGCAACCCGGGCATGTGCCCTGACCAGGAATCCAACCGTGACCTCCTGGTTCATAGGTCGATGCTCAACCCCTGAGCCACGCTGGCCAGGGCAGACGGATGCATTTTTAAGAATAAAGGTTCTCTAGTTCAACTTTGAGTTCACCAGCCAGGACATGCACAGCTCCGGGCCCGCCGCTGCCAGTGCAGACAGAGGGTCATTTCGGGGTCCGTGGAGCTGAGCAACCTGCCGGGTGCTGCCCGTGGAGAGCCTGTGCCCACGAGTGGGCTGGGGCCTCTTTCTGGCTTCACTCTTTCCCCACTGGGGTCAGAGACCCTTGGAGGTGGCGGTCCGGGTGGAGGACACAGTCCGCCCGCGACTGTCCCCCGAGAGCAGGGCCTCTCGCTTAGGGGCGGCCTGGGAAGCCCACTGCCAGCAGGAGGGGAGCCGCATCGTGTAACACAGCTGCCTCCTCCCAGCCTGCGCTCGGCCACGTCCCCGCCGGCACCTGCCTGGCCGCCTCCCTATGCGCCAATCAGACGGAGCCCGGCCCAGAACCCAGCTTCCTAAGGCCGCTGCAGCTGGGAGGCTGAAGCTAGGGACTCCATGCAGCGGACACGTGCTCTCCCCAGCTTTCACGCTCCCCAGGCCCGTCCACCGTCCCTTTATTGGTTAGGGTTAAACGCTGTCAGGTGCCGGGAGTCAAGGGGAGTCAAGGGCAAGACAAGGGCAAGAACGGCCCTGAGACTTGATGCCCCCGTGCAGCCCACAGGTGATTCAAGTGGAGGTCTTACTAGTGGTCAGGCCCGGGGAGGCCATGGATCCGGGGGCGACTGCCATTGGGAAGGGGGTTTGTTACAGTTCCCAAGGGGAGGGGGCCATGCCGGGTCACGTGGGGAAGTACCAGGCCCCTCCGGAGGCAGAGGGAGCGGGCGGAAGGTGTGGGCAAGAGGCTTTGCTGTGGTTTCCACAGGAAGGCACACCGGCGAGCAGGCTTAGGATTGGTCGGCTTGAATAGTTTCCGTGGGCTCTGGGCACAGGGGCTGTCCCTAGTTGTCTGGCACCTGTTCCTGGGTCCGTGGCCCCGCGTACCTGGCCCTGGTGACGAGGGCAGGCAGCCCAGGGTGCGAGGGCCTAAGGGAGGCAGCTGGGAGCTGAGCCCTGCAGTGGCTGCTTTGCTTATGGAAGGTGTGCTCCAGCTGTGGACTATCTCTAGGAATTAGCTGGCCCTGGGAGGCGTGGTCCCTCCATTGTCAGCGAGGCCCCAGGTGCCAAGGCATCAGGAAAATGAGACATGCCTGGTACAACAGTCCGCAGGGTCTCAAACTCTCCCCTGCAGGTCATGGGTGCCTTTGATGGGGCATGTGTTTTCAATCTTTCAATGCAGATGCCTCAGGTAGAGCATGAGTGTAATCTCCAGTTAGCCACAGGCCCCACCATTCCCTATTGCCTCATACCAGGCCACTGGCATATTTATGTTATCTGCTAGCTCCGTCGTGTGCACCCTGAGCTCCTGTTCCCAGATATGAGAGCATGGCCTGGGTGACATTGTCCTCTGTGGCTTTGCAGTCATTAATTACACCTCCCAGGCCACTCTGCTGACCTGCCTGGCTTTCTTTCTTTTCAATATATTTGCATTGATTTCAGAAAGGAAGGGAGAGGAAGAGAGAGATGGAAACATCAATGATGAGAGAGAATCCTTGATTGGCTGCCTCCTGCAGGCGCCCCACTGGGAATCGAGCCTACAACCTAGGCATGTGTCCTTGACCAGGATTGAACCTGGGACCCTTCAGTCCGCAGGCCGATGCTCTATCCACTGAGCCAAACCAGTTAGGGCACCTGCCAGGCTTTCTGAGTGCAAGTTGTGGTCTGCGTCCTCCCCAGAACCCTGCACCATCCCACCCCCCCAATGGCAGGAGGCGTGGTAGGGATCACCTCACCCACACACAAAACCTCCGAAAGTACGAGGACAGTGATTTCTCCCACTTCAGAGACCGGAAGACCAACACCAGTGACGTGACTCACACAGACACATGCTGGTGAGAGGCAGAGTCTGAGGCTAGATCCAAACTTCCTGTCCCCCCTCCCTTCCCCTCCCTCCCCTTGTCTGGACAGGGCCCCCGGGGAGCCTGGGGCTAGGGTGAATAGGGAGTGGTCTTCTGGCAAAGGTACTCATTGGCTCACAAAACAGATATTTAATGAGCACCTACTACATCCCAGGCCAAATACAGAATACAGGACTGTGGGCCATGAAAGGAGGCAGAAACCTTGCCTCCCGGGAGCAGCTGGCTGGTCAGGAGGTGAGAGCCAGTCTTTACCAGAACTCTGCTCCAAGCAAGAGGGTGCGTGGCCCCCGGGAGGAGCTGCTGGGTCAGGGCTGGCTGGCTGGCTGGGATCCCCTCTTAGGCCTTCTGTCTCTCCCCTGAGTGTCAGGATGTTAAGCTTCACAGTGACCCTGGTGGGGCAGTGATTTCTTTAAAAACAGCAACACAAGAACGCGTGCGCTGCCCTTGTGGGATAGCTTTTCACGCCAGTCTTCGTCAACTCCGGAGGATGGAGGCTTTAGCGGAGCAGTTTCCCCCGATGGCTTGTGAACCAGGACATAGGTCCCTCCATGTGTGACAGAGCCGAGAGCCTGCGAACCGGGATCCCCGCCCCCGCTCTGGCGGTTGGAGCACGCTTTGTTTACAAGCTTTGCACACTGCAAGGCAAGCGCCGTCCTGACGGGCACTCTGTCCTGTTTACTCGCATCAGCTGTGGATGTTCTAGAACTTGCATTTACTTAAGTGCTAAATGGTCTTGTGGAACCATTAGCTGCCAGGGTTCTGACGTTTCCATTTCTTCCCAAGGTTAGTTGCAGACAATGCAGTGAGCGCTATAGAGCAGCGGTTCTCAACCTGTGGGTTGCGACCCCTTTGGCGGTCGAACGACCCTTTCACAGGGGTCACCTAAGACCATCCCGCAGATCAGATACTTACATGACGATTCATAACAGTAGCAACATGACAGTGATGAAGTAGCAACGAGAATAATGTTCTGGTTGGCTCACAACGTGAGGAACGGTATTTAAGGGGCCAGAAGGTTGAGAACCGCCGCTGTATCGGGCTGGTGCCTGGGCAGGAGGGGGAGGGAGCCTCATGCACAGCTGGGGGCAGGGGTAGCCAACCTTGGGCAGAGCAGGTGTGCTCTTCTTGGATTCCCACAGGCACCGCAAGCTTTGCAAGTCCAAGTGGCTCACACAGAGACCTGGGGGTCCCTCTTCTCCTCTGGGTGAGGGTCTGGTAGGCCGGGCCCTCTCTGAGCGCTTAGAACGCTGAGGGTGCTGCATGCACCTGGGAAGGATTCTTCTCCCGTTTCCCACTAAGCCACGGGGCGGGGCGTCTGGAGGTGGCCATGAGTCTCTCCTTTCCTGCACTCTAAGTCTGACCCACGAGTAAGTCCTCTAGTTTCTTCTCCCAAATCCAGCTCGAATGCATCCCGCTTCCCCGTTTCCACGGCCCTGGGCCCTGACTGGCTGCC